GAACACTGAGGTTGGCAGATCACAACCATTAAATTATTTTTCTTCATTTGCTGTTTGCGTTTCAATTTTGCTTTGCTGAACGCACATGCAACTAGTGGATTTAACTCTGTGCCAGAAGTGATATGTCAAAAACATTTAGGAAAACTTACTGTTTTGTTTTACTGAAGTCAGGCATGAGTGGCATGCAGTAGATTGCAAGGAAAAGCAAAAGGACGTCTATTTCCAATGGTTTTATAATCTCCATGCACATGTAAAATGTCTCTTACAAAAATCGTTAACATTTGTTAAAAGTGTGCCTTTTTGCCTCTTTTTATACAAGTGTACATGCAATTACCTGTCCAAGCTAAAACTATTTACAAAATTTCATAATACAATACATCTTTTAAAGTGAATAATACATGAAAGGCCAATGTTTTCTGTTGTTTTTTGTCACACTGTACAAGATTAAAAATAAATAAGGCATTATAATACAGGTTTATCACAAATTAAAAAATGTTGGTTTTCACTGTAATACAAAACTCTAACTTGAAAGAACATTATGGCTAAATAGTCCTCCTGCCTGGGCAGAACACATACAGAATCTGGACTTGCTGATGTAAAGAAAACGTTTTGTTTCTGCTACAAGCAGGAATTCAACACATGAAAATGATTCACGCTACTTACTAATGTGTTCAGACTCCTCAAAGCACTGAAATGGCACAGGTCATACACTGTTTCCCTTCCGACAGTGACTCCCGAGTGCTTTCTTTTGCCTTACAGAAAAATTACAGGCAAAAGCATGAAAGAGATTTAGGCGCATGACCTACTCTCGGCTACACTGGTGTAAAAGGTTCAGTTCAGTACCAACGCGAGACATCGCTGTAACTCAAAGCAGCACTTGGCCTACAGAAGCTCAACTCCTGACCTCCATAAGCACGCTAAACTCCTGGTGATTTCTGCAGACCTCGTGGGTACATAAGGGATGCAGATTCAGCCCTAACGAGCTGAAGCACTTGGCTCTCAGTCTCATCTAGAGAAAGCAAGGGAGAATTTGTGTGTGTTTTAGTGAAGACAAGGGACTGCGACTCACCACAGTGGGAAGCAGCTACAAAACCCAACGCATTTTACAGGCTGGATGAAATAGCTTTCTAGTCAATGCAAATGGAAAATATTTGGAAATATCTAGCCAGTATTTCAACTGAATACCAGTCCGTAATCTCAGCAGAGAATAATAATTAAAAAATCATTTAAAGATAAAGGTAGCGTAGGAACACTTTGAAATTAGCTCCCGAGACAGTGAAGTCTGAAGATCTCTGATACTTATCTCCTTATATAAAGAACAAAAGACTTTGATTATTACTATTATCTGAAAGAGAAAACGTGCAAACTGATGTGAAATATTGTGCTTGCTATTGACAAACATTGATGTGCCAAAACGGCATTGCTTTGCTGTAGGGCTTGTATCTATTAATTGTTTCAAGCCAAGAGCTGCACGAAACAGTGAACAGAAGTGCAGGACGCTATTCTGCCTGCAATGCAACAAGTTACTCTCCTTAGTTCAACGTGAGGGACTTTTGGATGCTGTGGGGCAGAACTGACTCCTTGCTGGGACTACAGCAAGGTCACCCAGGCAAAAGTTACAGAGCTTGACCAGAAAATTAATAAATGCAAGATAAGAAATACAACTGCGTGCATTAAGATGCTCATAACCCAAATCCCACAGAAATCCAAGGAAATCCTTTGGATGATTTTCAGGGATATTGGAGGGTGCCACACATTATCTTCAGCCAATTGCCAGTAAAAATTTGATTACAAGCTTCTCTAATTTGGCAGAAAATGTGCATTTGTGGAGTTATCAGAAGTATTACTACTACTTCTTTCCAGGTATAAAACTTCCTGAACATAGCGAAGAATGCAGAAGAGCAGAGAGATTAAACCACTTAAAGCTATCACATGAGAGCTGAAATAGAAAAAACATACAAAGAAAAGGAAAATGGGGAAAAACTATATGAATAGGGAGGGAAAGCAAAAAGGCAGGAGAGCACAGCTTCATTATATCATGATTTCAACGGGCATTTAGTTTTCCCTGTTGGAATGGCTGCTGTACACTGCCTATCATTTTCACCTGGCTTTTTACTAATTTGTGCCTTGGCTGAACTTTCTTCATGATTCTGTACTGCTCAGTCCAGGACTACATAATAAAATATGGTTTTCCCCATATTCAAATGAGCAACAACAACCACAACAGAAATACGAAGAATGTTAACAGTAGGACTCAACCAAAGCCTGGAACCTGTCTCCAAATAGGCCATCGCTGATGCTGTGTGCTAGCACATGCACACCGGACTGGCTGCAGTGCCAAGGAGCCATGCTGCTCTGCTCAACCTGCTCTGGAGGCACAGACCTCCTGTAAAAGGGCCGAGTGAGAAGCTGAGGATGGACTGCGCCTGTCCAGTCCTTTCCATTCAACACGGAAAACATTCTGACAAAAGTCATGTGCCTCATTTGACTGCTGGAGAGGAGGATGAGGCTTAGAAGACTTTTGGAGTAATTCTATTAGCATCTGCTAATATTTTAAAATATTAAAATGAATAATCCAAATTTACCTTGCTACATGATCTTCCACTGACATTACTCCAGCACTAGGCCAGGAATGAGTCTGGAAATGAGAAAAATCCTGAAAATATTAGCACAGGGGACAATTCATTTCTGCTTGCTGTCCATTTAGCTATAAAAGAAACAATGGCAATATGCCTATATCTTGGACCTATTAAAAAAGTAACAAAGAAATAATTTCATGGTCAGTTTTTGGGGTGGGTCAAGGGCTGTATTTGGTCTATGTGTTCATGTATTACCAGATCTACTGCTAGGATCTGAAGATGCTTTTAGTAACAGTACATCTAAAAATAATGTTTTATTATTATCGGTGAAATTATACCAAATTCACTGATTCAAAAATTGTGTAACCTGGGCTCTTTGTGAGTGGAAGTGAGAGATTAATGCTATTGCACATAATACTTTCCATTTTGGTTAACTATTTAACTTTCCTGTGTGATGATTTAGTTCTTACAAACCTATTAGAAAACATAAACATGCAGTGTACTTTACATGGATACCACTTATTCAGATTAATTATGTAAATATTTGTTCTTTTAAATCTGTATTCTCTACATGTATTTATTTAAATGTATTTGAATGCCTCAAAACCAGAATTAAATTATTCTAGAAGAATACCTGTGAACCGGATAGCTGTTAGGGACAGAAAGAAATGCAGTGACTGTGCACAGATCAGCCAGGGTGCATACAACTAGTACTTTTAGGAAGCAATTTTATAGTTTTTATAGTCACTTTAATCACAACACTAATTTTGCTAGCTTTGTAATGAAACACCTAGCTGACAGGGTACATAAAAATTAATTAAAAACCCTGCTGGAAAGCACTGGAGTCCCGCAGCAGCCTGATATGGCTACATGGAGATTGGAAACTCCTTCAGCATTTCCAGCTGATTGCAGCAGAATCGCTCAGAATCTTTTTTTCCACTTAAATCAGTAATAAAATAGGCCTACCAGGGGGAAATGTGACACCTAGTACATGCGAGTTTTCTACTGTACAATCTGGACAACTTCTGCAGTCTTGGATGGGTTTTTCATGTTTGTTTTTTGGGGGTTTGTTTGTGGTTTTTTTTGTTTGTTTGTTTGAGTTAGAAGGAATTTTTGCATGTTTTTAGACAATGTGAAGTTTTGCTTCTCTTTTGGAAAGCAGTGAGGCTGGATAGCTTGTCCCCAATCAAGGGCAGTCTGGCACTGGCCATGGAGCACCCGTCACTCAGCAGGATGGCCTCCAATTGCCCCCACCTCCTGTATGGAGCTGTGCTCCACATCTCACATCCAGATCAGCATTTCAAGACGAAACCATGAGCAATAGGATGTGGGCTGCATTAAAGAAAAACGCAGTCAAAATATGTTCCCTTTTATGCAGATTAAGAGCAGCCTCACTCTCCTGGCACGTTTACCAGTGTGCTCCTCATTTGGGCAAAGTTTGACTGTGCTTGTTTCTCAGAATTATAGCTTTCTATAATTGTACAGCTTTGAAGAGTGAGCCTGGGTAGAATCAAGATACAATAAAGCTGTGGCATAAATTTAAAAATCAATTAAGACGTAAGACTATGTTGGCAAACACACAAATGTCACAAAGCCAGCAACAGCGTTTTTGTCACAGGACTAGTAGTATAGTACAGGACTATTCTTTGAGCTGTTTAGAAAGGTAAAGCTAAATCCTGGAACTGAGCTACAGGACCCGTGCTGTTTGTAAAAGCCTGAAATAATACCATTCCTCTGCTATTCAATAAAATCAGCACTGTACATAAAGGAATGTTTCTATATTGCATAAGCATATTGCTGTGCTTGCAGGGTGGCTCCTCTATCTTGCACAGAGTCAAACGACCTGTGAAAAGGCAGCAACTTCTAAACTCCACCACCCTTTTTTTTCTTTAATGGGAAGAATATATATTGTTCTTCTGCCAAACCTTTAAGCTCTGTGGTTTATCTACTTCATATCCTAGTGTTATGATTTGAATCGGATTTTTTTTGGAAGTTTTTGGAGCATGCAAGGAGAATTTTAAAAAATACATAGGGTTTAGCAATTAGGTGAATCCAGCCTTCATTAATCTGCCATTGATAGCACAAGGAACACTGTTGTCCTTGCTTTAACTCATACACTGGGAGCACAGTTCCTCTAACTCTTGCTGTAGCCCTGGAGTCTCCAGCTGCCCAACACTCCACAGTTAAATGCAGCTTTGCTAATCCCAGACCCAGCAATGCTGGCTATGACAAAAAGAGAAATCTCTTTGCTATGTCATTGCAGGTGGACGTGTAAATAAATACATATTTTTATGTTTATCTCTAAATCTCTATTAAGTCTACATAGGCCTGTTTGTATATGTGCATATATAGATAAAAAAAAATATATACACACACAAATAAGTAATTGCTTGCATGTTTATCTCATTTTTTTTTCATCTACCCTTTAAAAATGCCAAGAAAATATTTCTTATTTCCAGAAAATCAGGTTTTGACTTTTCCTAACAGAATTGCTAGCCCTTATATGTTCCATCCCAAGAGTTCGTTACACAGTCCCCAAGTTCTCTTTGGTTGGGTTGTAGTGGTCCTTGGTTAATGCCATGGCCTATGATCTCTGATCTCTTGGTAAAAATTCAGGCAACCATTGCTCTCCGAGTTCACTGCAAATGGCACAACCAAGTCTCCTTTGCTCTACGCCTCCTTCACGGCTGGCACAGAAGGAAGATAATGCAGCGTTTGATTTGTGTGAGTGGCCGACGTTTGACCTGCTCCAAGCCCAGCTTTTACAGTAAAGCTAGCAACTGAGGACACTGATGGACAGCTGGTGCCCAGTTTTGTTTGAATGTTTGCTCTCCCATAAGGGTACATTTTCCGTTCTAAGTTTAAAGACCGTGTTTGTGAATTATTTCCATCGGCCTTTCCTTCCAGGAAATAGGTCAACATTTCACCTTTTCCCTTTACACTGACTTTACCCCTGCAAACAAATTCATAACTGCATCTTTTTAATATACGCTGAACTTCTTCTGTCACCTGAAGACAGAAAAAAAAGAACTATTAGTTTTTCCTGTTCAGATAAGGGTAATCCTAGAACTGCCCACCCCTCCCCATTTAATTCTCTGTCATGAAATAAGCATAAGCAGAATGAATTAGCATCTACCGCTGCTTTAGGGCTCACTTAGAATTTTCATAAGGAATTAAAAATCACTGACCAAAATGGAGTCTGAGAAGCAGAACTTCTGGTCTTGAGCTGAATAATTACACAGCCAGATTAAGCTCTGTCCAACAGAAACATGTAACCAAATTGTCCACTGTTGTTTGTAAGCTGGATCAGTTCCAGTGACCTTAATTTACTCCAGAAGAACTTTTGATCCCTGGAGACTATACAGGTATTTTGGATAAAGGACTGCAAGAGTTCATTGAGGTTTTGAGAGATGCAGCATAGCTTGTAGCCGAGCTCTAGTAGAACAACAATGTTCTCTGTCTGTGTAGCCTCTCCGATCCAGAGTATCCAAGGAATTTTTAAAGCTGCATAAAATGCAGCAGGATGCAAATGGACATAGATCCTTTCCTTGTAGTCCTTATTCGGGCAAAATTCCTACAGCGCAAGGACTGGCCCATGCAGCATC